ACTCATAGCAACTCTGTGTAGGGTTTTTGAGGAGCAGATGGTGAATTTGAACTGCTGACCTTGTGGTTCAAACCAATGTTGCAGTTGAGTGCTTTATCCTACAGTGCCACACCAGGCCTGTAGGATGGAGTAGAACTGTGGAGTAGGGTGCCCACAACTGATAAATCTTCACAGAAGCAGACTGTCACATCCTTCTCCTGATGTAGCTGAGTGTTTTGACCACCAGGACTCCTTCCATAAGGGTTGCAATCTAACACACCCTACGGGGCAGTTCTATAATGTCCCAGAGGGTGGCTATCAGTTGGAATTGCCTCCAAGGCAATGGATCCAAACCCAAAAAAACCCAAATCCACTGTCACTGAGTCAACTCTGATTCGCAGTGGCCCTGTGAGGATTTCTCAGTCTGTCAATCTTTTTATGGGCACATACAGCTTCATCTTTCTCCTGTGGAGTGGCTGGTGGGTTTGAACCACCAACCTTGCAACCCCCAACCAGCCCAGTGCTTAGTCCACCATGCCACTAGGGCTCCCAAGGCAGAGTATGGTAAGGTAAAATATTGTTGTGAAGTGTTGTTGAGTTGGTTAGACCCTGTAGAGGATTTCTGTAGAGCAGCAGGTGAGCTTAAACTGCTGACCTTGTAGTTAGCAATCCAATGCTTATCTTACAGCGCCATACCAAAACTCTAATGGTAACGTGGGTATGCTGATATTCCTCCAACTAGGACCTCTGAGAAGAGAATGAAAGGGCTTTATATACTGTACCTGGGCTGGAGACAGGTAAGAATAGTATTCCTTACACAGAGTCCTGGTGTGGCGCTGTGGGTTAATGCTCTGGACTGCAAGGTTGGTTTGAACTACAAGGTCACCAGCCGTTCCTTGGAAACCCTATACAGAGTCGCCATGAGCTGTAACCAATTCGATGGCACTTAACAGCAACAACAACATTCCTTACACAAGGCACCTCTTGACCATTGCACATACGCACTATGACACACACACACACACAAACGTTGCATGCATTTTTCTCTCTTGCTTCCCTTCTCCATCTTTCTCCTCCACCAGTTCTCCAAATTCTTTCCTACACAGGCTTCCATTGTTATTAAAATGCCCCTGGGCACAACTGGAAGCAGAGGCAGGTGGCTGTGAAATCCCTACAGAGGGTAGGAGGGACAAAGCTTTCTGAATTGAGGTGTTGTTGACAGCCAAGTTGCTGGCAGTGTTTAGTGTACTCAACTGCTCATCAAAAAGTTCAAACCACCAGTCACTCTGTGGGAGAAAGATTTACAGCTTTGGAAACCCTATAGGGGCAGTTCTACCCTGTTCTTATTGGATCACTATGAGTCAGTATGGACCTGGAGGATAGTGGATTTGGCAATCTAACTCTCCTGCTCAGGTATGTCCCATTGGAAGGATTTGGGCGGCTACCTCCCACACTCATAAATCCTTAGCTGTCATTCACGGCAGCTTGTTCTGGCGCTGGGTCCTTAGAGACATAGCATCATAACAATGATACCAACAACAGTAACAATGACAGCTACCACTTACAAGCACTCACTGTACTGGGAGCTGCTCTGAGGGCTTTGCATACGTATACTCAGCTAATCCTCTTAAAAGTCCTCTTAGTAAGTACTTTATGTTATCACAGTAAAACCTGAGAACGCCAGGGCTTGTGTAAGATAGAAACCTGCAGGAGAAGGGAAATAGGGAAATCGTTCCCATGAATGTGAGCAGTAGGAAAGTGGCAATGTTACCAGAAAACAGTCCAACTGCTGTAGTCAGTATCAGAGATGGGGTGAGAATCAAGGTACGTTTTATTGACAGATTTGGAAGGCAGCGAGACGCCTTCTCTGAGAGACTGCCTTGTTCTCTCCCATACAGTTTGAATTTTTACACCCTTTTGGGTATATCTGCACTGTTACAAGGTTTAGTCAGAGTTACATTGTGGCACTATGGGGTAAAACACTGGACTGCATGGTCGGTTTGAACCACAAGTTCTGTGGTTTAAACCCACCAGCCACTCCTTGGAAACCCTATACAGGATTGTTATGGGTTGGAATCATTTAATAACAACAACAGATGATTTTAAAAAACAACTCATTACTCATCGGCGGTATGTTTATTTATTTTTAGAAAATCATGTTTGTTGTTGTTTTAGGTGTCATCGAGTTGGTTCTGACTCATAGTGACCCTATGCACGATAGAACCAATCAGTCTTTCCTTGAAGAATTCTTCTCTCTTCAATTCACAGCAAGTCAAAGAAAGCAATAGTTTGGACACCCTTGAGGGACTCAAATCATGTTCCTTTGAAATCTTCTGAGCTTGGGGTAACAAAACTAAGTCTGAAGGGACAAGATTAGAAGTGTGGATTGAGTAGGAGAAGGTTTCCCACAAAATTCTTGTACACAACTCATCCAAGAATGAGTAGGTGCATTACGGTGACAGAAACCAGCTCTTCAGCACAACTTTAATTTTTCTTATTAGGAAATGATTATTTTCTACTTAAAACTTCTTCTTAATAAGCCCCCGTAATTGTCCTGTGACCTTGGAGAAAATCCATCAAGATGACTCCCTTTGTAGTCCCCAAATTAATAACCATAACGTACTGAGCTGACTTTTCTACTTTGAATGTAACAGGTCCAGCCAATCACCTCATAAACCACCATTTGAAATGGACCTTTTAGTTGTTGTTAGGTACCCTGTAAGACTCAAACAGGTGCATCACTGAGAGAACTTGTCTGCAGCCATTCACTGATCACAGAGACTTGTTTAAATATGTTTTGTTTCGAATAAACCCGTACGTGTATAAACTGAAACACTAGTAACAATGTCTTTTGATGTACCCTCGTATACTTAATGAAATATCAAGAATAGTCAAGTGTATGGATTCCAGAATTTACTAGTGGTTGCTAGGGGTGAGTGGGAGAAAGGGAGAAAAATGAGGGGTCAATGTTTAGGGAACACTGAACTTGTATTAAAAGTGATGGGAAGATTTAGAAGTGGATAATGGTAATGGGTAGACACCATGCTAAACACAACAAAAGTCACTGAATTTTACACACAAAGAATGTTGAAATGGCAAGTGAGTTGCTGCATATATATTTATCACACACACATAATTAAATAATACACGTAGATAACGCCTGACTAATGGGATGTTCTCATTAATGATTCATACATGGTTCTTGTTTTCTTTATGTTATTCCTTTATTTAATCTCCATTCCCTTTTGCTATTATCTTTGTCACTGTGTTTCTTTGTGCCTCCAGTCCAGCACTCAACCCTTCCAACAGTCAGCCCTGAGCAACTGGTCCTGAAACTGAGGTTTTCAAATGAAAAGAATGACAACCTAAAGCCCCTTTGGACTTTACCATCTGTGCTTCTAACCACATAGCTATGGTTTCCTCTGTAGGAATCAGGGATGACGGAGAAGTCATTATCCACACTTCCCTTGACTTCGCCCCCCTCTAGTTTCTTTGCTAAACTGAAAAACTTTCTCTGTTTATGCTGTCATGCTGGCCCACCTGATTATTACCTCAGTAGCCTCCTGATGTGGCCCTGTAGGATAAGCACTGGGCTGCTAACCACTAGGTCAGTGTCTCAAACCCACCAGTTACTCCTCAGAAACCCTATACAAAGTCACTATGAGTCAGAACCAACTGGACAGCACTTACAAGAGCCTCCTGGTTGGTCTCCCTGAATGTACTCTTCCACCTTCTGCTCTTCACCTTCTAATCCAGCAATCAGAATGATTTCAGAGAAGGAATGAGTTATAAGCCTTCCCCTTTCCACCTCTCCTCAGGGGCTTCCATTCCCACTGGGATAAAGATCAAACCCCTCACCACAGCCTAAAGATTCTCCATCTCTATGTCCAGCTGGATTCTCCTGTCTCATTCCCCACATCATTATTCCTTACTTCCTAGCACTAGCCTTCCATCAGACCCTGGGATAGACTAAATTCAGGTGCTTGAAACTGGTAGTTAGAATTCTGGTGTGGTGCTGTGGGTTAATGTGCCAGGTTGCAAAGCCGTTTGAATTGCAGGGTCGGCAGTTGGTAGAATACAGGATGCAGGTAGGGAAAGGATACCCAGAACAGCATGAGGATGAGCCATCCTGAGGATTTAACCCTGACAGTGATGAATCAATCATTCAGAAAAGCATAGATGTTGCAGGGTAGAAAATTCTGGCCATAGAATATTTTCAGGATGAAATGTTATGGAAGTCTAGAACCTTCTTGAGTATAAAACCCAGAAGAATCTAGAATGTTGGCAGTGAATAAACATTGGAGAAGAGATAGAATGTCATCAAGAAAGGTTCATTCATGGGACAAAGAATTATGTTGAGATGGGTTGATGTAGGCATTTATGAATGTTGCTGTGTGCTGTTGGCTTCTGACTCCTACACATTCTGTAGGACAGAGTAGAACTACCCTATAGGGTTTCTTAGACTATGAGCCTTTGGAATCAAATGACTGATTTTTTTTTCTTTTCTCCCATGGAGTAGCTGGTGCTTCTGAACCGCAGACCTTTTGGTTAACAGCCACGGGTTTAATCATTGTGCACCATCAAGGCGTCTGAGTCTGTGTTAGCCACTTTGGAACATTTGGGAAACCTGGAGTGTTATTTAGCTTGGGGACATTCAGTGAGCTGGTATGCCCCAGGGATGCAGTATTTGGGAGACCACAATTTTGACATTGACTGAATGCTTCTAAAACAAGGAACATCATCTGAGATGGAGAATTTGGAGAGCTGTTGTTGTTGTTGTTAAGTGCCGTTGAGTCGATTCTGACCCATAGTGAACCTGTATAGGGTTTCCAAGGAGCAGCTGGTGAGCTTGAACTGCTGACATTGCAGTTCAAATGATCTTGTAGTCCAGCACATTAATCCACAGCGCCACATCAGCATGGACTGTTAATTAGAATGGAACACTTTGGGAGAGGCAGAGAAAGACTGGGTAGACTGAGGACGGAGGGCACAGTAGGGATGAATAAGGTGAGAAAATGCATTCAACATTTATTATTATGGGACCTCTGTCCCTTTGTGTTCTTGGATTTTGGGTTTCGGATTGTTTCCTGGATCCATGAAATGTACTGGGAGACTCGAGTGTAGACACCAGGTCTGTTGGGCTGTCCGCAAGGGAAGTCTCCCCAGGAGATGATGCCATGGAGTGATCCATTACAGACCAGAGGACCTCCAGAGTCACCCTAAGATGAAGAAGAAAGAAAGATTTGGGTCTTTACTAGAGATAAACAATGGCAGAGCCAGAGGTGTAGGTAGAAAGAAAAGATGGAGAAAAATACACACAGGGGCACAAAGCTAGGCAGAAGAACACACAGACAGAGTGAGAGGAAGAGAAAGAGCAACAGAAAGATGAGAAGACTGAGGAGACAGAGAATGAGAGACAAGAAAAGAAGCAGAGAAAGAGACACCCACCACTCCACCACCAACCACCCCATTAGCATTCTCATCCCTACTCCACAAAAGAGATAGAGGAGAAATGAGAAACAGAGATCACGTCTGTATGTCTCCCTGTCTCTCTCTGGTCCTCTTTCTCATGAGAGTGGTGATAGCTTACTTCAAACATACGTTTTTGGCTCGCTGGCACCAAACCCCACCTTGGCTCCCTACCACCAGCTGCCCTGCTCCTGATTTATTGTTTATTTGTGCCACCTTACTATTGAGTTATGATAGATCAGCAAAAAAAGAGAAAGACCCCCCCCACCACCACCTCCCAACAAGATGAATTGACATGTACAGTTGTGAGGATAGGGCAGGACCAGGCAGTGTTTCGTTATACTGTTCACAGGGTCACTATGAGTTGGAACTGACCAAATGGCACCTGAAACTAACAACACTATTGAGTTCAGGAGCCCTGGAGGCTGCTATCTGAAAAGTTGGCAGTTCGAACCCATCCAGTGGTTCTGCAGGAGAACGACTTGGAGATTATAGCCTAGAAAACCCTGTGGGGTAGTCTTACTCTGTCTTAATGGGGTTGCTATGAGTCAGAAATCAACTCCATGGCACTTAGTGACAATAACTATTGAGTTAATCCATCCACATCTTGGTAGGGTATCCACCACACATGCACTTCCACTCCTCCCTCTGCACCCAAGGCAGACAGCACTAATCCATCATGGCAGACATAACACATTCATCATTACACTCTCTTTCCCATTGGCACAAAACTCAATTTTTGCATTAGTTGGTATTGTCCATGCAATCAATATCCAGTTGCCTTATTTTATTACCATTCTTCTGAGTTTTCCCTTGAGGTTAACTATCCCTCCCACCCTTTCAATCTACAGGAAACTGAGTTACAAATGAGATCAGTTCCAAAGAGTATCTTTAAGTTGAATTTTAGTTAATTCAGAAGAGGTTCTTGCGGGTCTTATTCAGCCTTACTGTAGTGTGAGAAAAGACTAGACGCTCTTTTGTTGATTTAAAAGCTGGATAGGCAGCAAGTGAAAGTGGTTGTGACGATGAATGTCTTGAGCGTAGGAATTGGTTTTGTTGGTTCTAAGGGCGAGTATGAGTTCTCCAAAGTCAGACAATCATAACCCAGGGATATCTGTATATAATAGTTTGACTCAAACTCAAGGTGAGTGATAGGATCTAGACTTGTCCATCACCGAGTGGCCATCACAGTTCTGGCCAGAGTGATGATTCAGTGATGGAGGTACGATTCAAGTCAGACTCATACTCAAGACTTGTGTGTAAACTATTGGGAAAGAAATGTTTTATTTTTCCAATAGAGTTGCTTAGAGGATGGGATATAAGCCCAAATCTGCAGAGGTCATCTTGCCATTGTATGGGAAGATTCTAGTTGATAATGAAGCCAAAACAGAAGAGATGGTTGCTCAGAGATAGAGAGACAGAGTCCTAAAAACATTATTTGAACACCTGCATTCATTTCTGAAGCTAAACGCCCCTGGAATTTTCAGCTACAAACGTCAGTTGTGTTTTGTTTTGTTTTTTTTCACACCAGTTTGAATTGGCTTTTTGGCAGTTTGAGTCCACTTAGAGCCACCTCAAAAGAAAGGTCTGATAACCCAGTCATTGAAAACCCTATGGAGGACAGTTGTACTCTGACATGCATGGAGTCATCATGGTTTGGAAATAACAACTGGGTTGGTGGTGTCGTCATTCTGGTTACAGAAGATAGGAACTTTGGACTAGGATGGTGACAAGCCAGCTGGAGAGAATTGAAGAGATGATGGAGGTAAAACCAGCAGGACTTACTGATTATGAATGATAAATAAAAAAGAAGAAGCAAAGATGATTCCTAAGTTTGGAGTTGAACCCCAAGGTGTAAAGATTGTATGTTGAAAAGGTTGGATGCATGTGTGGATGGATGGGTGTGCGGATCAATGAGTGAAGAATAGATGTTAACTGAATGGTGGATGCTTGCTGGGTTTTTGACTAGATTTAGATGGATTCGTGGATGGACAGTAGTTGGGTAGTTGCATAGACGTGTGGATAGATGGTTGGAGGGTAGGTACATGGACAGATGGATGGACATTCTCCTTCCCCCTTCCCCTCCAGCATCTCCCTCAACTCCACTCCAGCTTTCCACCCTAGTCTATGGTAAACTACCAACTCCATGGCCTCACCTCACAGGAATCCTTGCCACCTTCTCTTGTGCCAGCACACAGCATGTTGGAAGTGATCCTTCCAGGGTAGACTTGCCGACACTCTTCATCTGAACGTAGTTGGATGTTGGCACATTGTAAGGTTTTTGGGTAACTCACTGGGAAGGAAAGAGAGAAAGATCTAAGGTCATCTGTTCTGGACAGACAATGGGCATTAAATAGGACAGTTATCTGGACAGAGTGTTGGTGGCAAGTAGAGCTAGGAAGAGAAAGATGGGAGATGACATGAGGCATGTAGTTGGGGAAGAGACAAATGTGGAGAGAAGTAGGGGAAGAGGAAGATGGGGAGAACAAGGGAAGGAAAGATGGAGAGGGATGGGTAAGGACTGGGAAGGAAGAGATATCAATGAGGTGACAGAGGAGGAAAGAGATGGCGTGAGAGATGAGGAAAGAAAAGTGAGAGAAGGAGTTGGTAAGAAATAGGAAGACAGGTGTGAGAGATAGAGAAGATAGGAAAAAGACTAGAAAAAAAAGGTGGAAAGAGAAGTCAGAGTGTTGGAAAGAGTGTTGGGAAGTGTGTTGGGAACAGAGATGGTCATATTGCAGAGAAAGAGGGAAAAGAGGCCAAGAGAGAGCTTAGGCATTCTATAGACATGCTAAAGACTCTTGTTTGAATCAAAGTGAGTCCTCCTCCACTTTCCCTCCCATCACCCTCCACCCCCATCAATTCTGTGAGCTTCAGGTCTTATAGGATCATACCCTGGGGGCTGGTGGTAGTGCCCCAGCCAGACACCCGGCAGCAGGTTCCAGTCGGCAGGCAGTTGTTGTGGGAGAGAGATAGGGTGCGGATGTGGCTAGTGAGTTGCACAGGAGACTGTAGCTCCAGTAGCATTATGTCATGGTTATGGTTCAGATGAGTGGGGCTGCTCTGGTATTCGGGATGGGGGATAGAACGGGCTACCTCCCTCACCTGCTCACCAGCCTCCATATGCCCCAGGGCATGCTTGCCCAGGTAAACTTTGTATCCACTATGGGAGAAGGAAGGTATGGTTAGGGGAAAGCATGAACCCTTCCCCATCTCTTACCCCAGTCTTGTTCTCAGCCTGTTCCTCACCCCCAATCTAAGCCCACTTCATTCAACTTCTCTCATCCCCAAATACCAAACATATTTCTTGCCTTACTTCCAGTCCCTCCAAATCCCCTTCTTCACATCCATTCTCACACTAGATCTCCATAACAAACTTTTCTCACCCCTAAGCCCTTCCCCAACCCTTGTTCCAATCTCCTCTCGAAATCCAACTCCACTCTCAACCACTACCCCAGCCCCATTTCCATCCCATCTCCCTTGACCCCACATACTCCTTCAGGCAATGTGCTGCAGTGAGGACCCATTTGGAGTGGACTAAGACTCCGCCACAGAGTAGCCGCCCTCTCACTAGGAGGGCCACCTGCCAGGGTTGAGAGTGTGGGAGGCAGGTGTAGCCGCCTGGAAGAAATCCATTGGTTCCGTTGGTGCCGTTTAGAATCTTGGGGTGCTCCTGGGAGATGCCTGATGGATGATAGAAAATGGAAGATTTTATCCAAGATGAGGAAACCTGGAGTTGTGGTTTCTGATTCTGGGGAAAAGATCAGAATTTTTGCTCTGGGTGACCAGAAACTGATGATTTGTTCATTTATTGGTCTCTGGGAATTGTCCATTCCATTCAGTGGAAATGAATCAAGGCAAAGAGGCTACTTTCTTTTCTGTGCAAATGTCAAACTCTGCAATGGGGGTTCAGAAAAGAGTACAGGGAATGTATACTTCTATAGGAAACAGAAACCTGACTTTCTCCTACCTGCATTTTCTCTATCATTTCTGCATGGGGATGGATTTTAGGAGGCACAGAAGTGATATTTACTTGAACAGTATCCATCCATTCATCCAACCGTCCAATCATCCATCCAACCAACCATCTATCCATCCCTCCATGCATACAACCACTCAATCAGCATCCATCTGCTCATCCATCCAAACCTCCTAGTCAACAACCTAGCAACCATTCACCACTCAACTAACACCAACGATTTACACTTCATCCACACATGCATCCAACCTTTCAACCTAGTCTTCCCACCTTTGTGTTCAACTCCAAATTTAGGAATCATTTTTGCTTCTTCTCTTTTCTTCATCATTCATAACCAACAAGTCTTGTTGGTTTTACCTCCATCATCTCTTCGATTCTCTCCAACTGATCTGCTACCATCCTAGCCCAAAGTTCCCATCTTCTCTAGCCAACCTAACCACTTGTCAATTCCAACTTTATGGTGATCCCATGTGTGTCAGAGGAGCACTGTGCTCCATAGGGTTAATGGATGGTTTTTAGAAGTATTTGCTTTTCTTTTGAGGTGCCTCTGGGTTTTTTTTTTTTTTGGTTAGCAGTTAAGTGAATTCATCATTTACACCATCCAGGGAATCTAAATGAGTAAAAAAATCTCCTAACTGTCTCTACTTGTTCAGTCCTCCAATCTATTATTTACATAGCAACTGGAGGAATATTTGAACATGGAAATTTAGACCATAGTACTCCCAGGTTTAACATCATGCTGTGGTTTCCTTTAAAATAAAACCCAGAGCTTTTCCAACACTTGCTGGACTATTCATCATCTGGATGCTGCTAGCCTCTCTGGCCCCATCTCCTACCTCTGTCCCTCTTGTTCAATGTGGACCTATTCTTCAAACACACCATGCCTTGATGCCTTTTCCTGGAATGTTCCTTCTTTAGATTTGCACTGTCCCACATGATAGTTGCCAACCACATGTGGCTATTAAATTTTAAATGAATTAAAATGAAAGTTCATCCTCTGCAACAGCCACTTTTCAAATGCTTAACTGCTCAAAATATCCACTTTGTCCAATATGGTAGCTCCATGTGGCCAGTGGCTACCATATTGGACAAAGTGGATATTTCCCTTCACAGAAGAAGGTTCTATTAAATAATCGTGTAGAAGCTAGAGAATACATGTCTGAGAGCTCAATCCAGAGGCCTTCCCTGGCCACCTGATCTAGTGTTGCCGTTCCTGACCTCCAGACATTCCCTATTATATCCCCCCCTGTTGATTTTCTTCAGAGCAACAATTGGTATTTGTTTCTCTTCGTACTTATTTATACCTACGTCTATTTATTTACATTTAAGTCTTTTCCCCCTCTTCTATCTCCCCATGATGAGTATCAGCTTCATTAAGAACAGACACACTAAGTACTTTAATCAATGAAGTATCTCCAGGATCTAGCACAGTGCCTGGCATGCAGAAGATTCTCCATGAATGACTTTTTGTGAGCCAGGCATTGTGTTAGTGGTCAGTCGGACAGAGAGAAGTCAGCCGAAGATCCCTGACTATATGATAGATATTGTGATAGCCTCCAGCTTCATATTTTTCAGCTGTAAATAGGAACAGTAGCACTTCCTCTTTTCATTGGACAGTTATAAGATTTCGTAGTGCTTAGCTGCTAACCAAAAGGTTGGCAGTTTGAACCCACTCAGTGGCTCTGTGTCAATCTCCTCTCATAAAGATTAAAACCAAAGGTCAACCCAATCAACCCACTGTAATAGAGTCAATTCTGACTCAAAGCAACCCTGTACCTATGAGACACTATGGGCTGTTCTTTCTGCCACATGGAGTCACTGAGTCGAAACTGACTTAAACCTTTCGGTTAGAAGCCAAGTGTTTGAACCATCTGCACCACTCAGGGACTCTGGTGAGCTTTTATTTAAATTTCAAAGGAAGAAGAGCTGATTTTTAGGAGACCATTAGGTTGGGATTTAAGAATGCAGTTGACTGGGAAGACAACCTTGGATTTAGATTCTGGCTCAGGTACTGCAGGTATCTTTGGGGCAGGACCCTTCCATCTAGCTTTGTTTTATTATTATTATTATTTTTTAGCTGTTTAACTGCAGAGTTATTAATTATAATGCACCTACCTCATAAGGAAAGGAGCTCTGGTAGCGTAGTGATTAACCTTAAGGTCAGCAGTTCGAACCTACCAGCGATTCTGCAGGAGAAAGATGAGGCTTTCTGCTCCCGTAAAGATTTACAGCCTCGGAAACCCTATGCAGGGTCACTATGAGTCAGAACCAACTCCACGGCACATAACAACAACAACCTCATGAGGAAGGAGCCCTAGTGGCCCAGTGGTTAACTGCTTGGCTGCTAACTGAGAAAGTTCGGCGGTTCAAACCCACCAGCTGCTCTGTGGGAGAAGAGCCTCAGGGACCTGCTCCTTTCAACACTACTGTTGTTGTTAAGTGCCGTGGAGTTGGTTCACTCATAGCAACCCTGTGTAGGGTTACTGAGGAATGGTTGGTGGATTTGAACCACCAGCCTTGCAGTTAGCAATCCAGTGCTTATTCTACCATACCACACCAGGACTCCTTAGAACATCCTATGGGGCAATTCTATTCTATCATATAGCATCTCTAAGAGTTGGGAAAGGAACCCTGGTGGTGCAATGGTTAAAGCCCTTGGCTGCTAACTGGAAGGTTGGTGGTTCGATCTCATCAGCCTACCCCACAGGAGAAAGGTGGAGGCAGCCTTCTCCTGTAAAGATTACAACTTTGGAAAGCTGTGGGGCAGTTCTATTCTCTCCTACAGAGTCACTAAGAATCGAAATCAACTCTGGCACACAACACCACCTCCTATGAATGCTGAAGATTCCATAAGACCATGCATATGGGGCTCCTAGCTCAGGGCACAGCTCTCAGGAGGTATGCAGGACATAGACATGGACATGGAGTCCTGGGAGTGTTACCAAAGGACAGGAGCCGTCCTATGAATGGGCCAGGATGGTGTCAGGTATCTGGCTCCCTGCAGACCCCTCCCTCTCCTTCTGTCTTAGCTCAGATCCGGCCAAGAGATACCACTGAATCTCCAGGTTCTTGGCTTGGCTGCCTGAAGCTGTCTCCTCATCTTATATTTACAGCTCATTATTAATTAGTTATTTAGGTAATTGTTTAAATAATGTCTACATCCATCCCTACTAGGCTCTGGGTGCTTGTAATACCCAACACAGTGCCTGGTGTCCAATGGTTTGTTGAATGAATGAATGATGCATGGGTAGGGGTTCCAGAGGCCAACAAGTGGATCTTAGATGTAAGGAGATGGAATCTTTGAGGATCAACTGTAGGTGGGGTCAGATAAGTTTTGGGTCACCCCAAGGCTTATAGGCAACATGAACTAGCAGGTTCTGGGAGAGGCTGAGAAAGAAGGGATAGTAATAATAAAGCAACAATAATGACTAATGTTTGACTCCCTTCTACCTGTCATTCACTGAGCACTTTACCCAATTACCTCATTTGAATATTCATGTGGTAAGAACGAATATGCTCCCATTTTACAGATGAAGAAACTGAATCACAGAGAAGCTACGTTATTACTTGATCCAAGTCACAGTCAAATAGTGGATGTGAACCCGTGTCCGCCCCACTCCTAGGGCGCCCAGAAACCTCAGGGAGGGCCAGAAGGTATTGCATGTGGCAGGGGTTGCTATGGGGACTTTTGAGGGGCTGGGGTGCAGAGTAGAACACTCAAAGAAGGGGCCCGGTGGGCAGAATCTAGGAGACAAAAAGAGTTGGAAACATTCCCAGGAAGGAGTCTGGAATTAGCATGGGGGAAGGAACAATGGTCAGAAGGGAGAAGGGACTGACCCCGTAGGGAAACCAGGTCACCAAGGGACCAACAGTAAGTTCTCTGGGAGGCCCAGGTGAGGCCCAGCCCCGCGTGGGCGGGAGGCGGAGCTCGTGGCTGGCTCTTACGCCCCGCCCCCTTCTCCCACCCCCCATCCCC